AGGAGGAGGAGCAGGAGGAGGGAGGGAGGGAGGGGAGGAGAGGGAGGGAGGGGAGGGAGGGGTGTTCGTTGTCAGTGGAATCGTGCTGTCGCCCTCAGCGTCGGAGTCGCTGTCAGAATCGTCGTCGTCGTCAGCTTCGTCGTCACCGTCGTCGTGATCGTTGTCATCGGAATCGTCGTCATCGGAATCGTCGTTGTGCTCCTCCTCCTCTTCCCCCTCCTCGTCCTCCTTGTTTCTTGCCCTGGATACGGCCCCCTGCATTTGAGCCCACAGTACCTGCGCACGCCACAGCGACTATGAACACCGCAACGCTCACGTACTACACAATGCCCGTTTGCGCATTCATTGCCCGTATACACCACAGCGCTGGCAGCGACGAGCGCCGCGCTCCGACCGCCGCGCCAATGCCTCTCAGCAACAGAACAACACTACGTTCCTGAGAGCACCACGCGGCACGCACGCAAGCGCCGCTTTCCCTCGCGAATGCCAAAGCGTCCCTGTGTGCACAAAAACATGCCTCTGAACACCACAGTAGCCTGCGAACGCCACAGGACGTCCGAGGTCGCCACCGGACGACCGACCCCATGTGAACAGGGGGGGGGGGGAGGGGGGCGGGGCCGGTCACGCCCGTGATCGCCTGGGGGTTCTCCGAATGGCCGCCAGCGGACCAGGATATGCTGGTGTGCGGTGCCCAGTATGCTCTCCCTCTCTCTCTCTCTCTCCCCCTCGCTCTCCAATTTGTCGTCTTCGATGCCAGCCCCGCTCCTCTCCGTGTACGACGAAGCCAGGACAGGGACAACATCGAACAGGGATATAACTTAGGGGGTCTTCAGAGATTCGGCCGTTCTGTTCTGGGCGCCGCGGCCGTTGCAGAGCGTTTCCGAACGCTCCGAGAGCACTGGAACGCTCTTTCCCAGTCCTGGCCCCGCCTGACCCTCCCCTCGCCCTCTCAGGACCTGCAACTTGGGGGCTGCGAGCCGAGAAAACTGCCGCCACACTCGAGTGCTGCTGGGGGGCCCAGCGGAGTGACATGTTGCGCGGACCAAGTCAGACATCACCGTTTTCCTGGGGGCTGCGAACTGCTAAAATGTCGCCACTTTCGTCGATGCCTCCTAGATGGGGCCCGAGTAGATGGGGTCGGATGATCGCGCCGCATCGGAAAAATGCATCGGCGATGCATCGCCGATGCATCGGCGACGTCGGCGAGGCATCGGCGACGTCGGCGTGGAGAAAATCGGGCTCCACATCGAGCCGCATCGGCGGTGCGTCGGCGCTGCGGCGCGATCCTCCGACCCCACCTGCTCCGACCCCATCTCTCGCCATCGCTCGGACGTCCATTCCCTGTGTTTTTTCGGTTTCGTGCGTGGTTTTTTCGCCAAATGATCGAGGATGTTCCTCGATGGTCCTCGCCGAAAGAAAAAACGCACACGTCCGAGCGATACCAAGATCTGGGAGGCCCAAAACTTGCGAGGCTGCTCCAGCGCTGTGACCACTCTGGGTCCGCGTCGCTGCTGGAGGCGGCAGCGACGCCCGAGCCCCTCCCGAGGGCCGGGCCCGCCGGCGGCGGGCGGGCCAAGGACGGGCAGGGCACCCTCGGAGGCGCTCGGCGACCTCGGGCTCGCGTGCGCGGTGGGCAGGAGGGCGCGGCCAGCTCGGGGAGCGGCGAGGACCGCGTGAGGCACCTGCGTCTTCTGGGCTCCCCCCGGCGCTACAGACCACCGCGGACGCTCCGAAGGTTGGCGAGCTGCGGCATCTCGAGCTTCACACGTTCGCCGGCAGGCGCAGCTGGGAACAGCTGTGCCACCACAGCTGCGATCAACGCTAAAGCGGGCCACGTTGGGGTGGAAACCGTAGCTGCGTTGAGGACGGCGCTCGCGTGTGAACCGATCCGTGTTGAAAAACACATCATGCACGGGGCTATGTAAAGACACCATAGGCTAGATCTACCAGAGGTCGAGGCCCAGAGTGTAAGAGATGGTGTGAGGGTCACAGAAAGTCCCCGATACGTTCCGCCCAGGGAGGGCATCCCGGGTACACACACACACACACACACATAGATGCACACTCCTCCTACGACGCGCTGATGAGCTTTGTTCAATGGTTAACAATAGGCGGGACACGTGCACACTGAATGTGCCCTCTTGTGAATCAGCATGATCAGGTCCGAAGATCCTACGGAGAGCCCAACAGCCACGCACGCAAGCCTTCACACTCGGCCGCTTTACACTCCTCGACCTCAAATGTTCTCTAGTCAGCGAGCCAGGCTCAGCCATGCCCAAGCTGCTGCCGTCCAACTTGCCCGTCTCACGGGGCGGAGATCGAAGAACACAAGGTGTCACAATAACCGCTCAAGGCAAAGCCACACCTGCAGAAACAAAACCAGGCAGCGTTCGATTCAGTCAAGTTTGCGCCCCGCTTTGACGGATTCGCCAAGACACAAGCCATCACATCTCTTACGCCGCTGACCCAACACTCGCGTTGGAGTGTCAAGCCGTAGGCACGAGCCAGGCCGGCGCTTCGGCATTTCAGCATACAGTGGACCTGTAGCTGTAGCAGCGCTGAAAAATGCGAATCCTCGGTACCGAATCACTGCGCGAAGGAACACCGCGGGCGGTACAGTCGCATCAAATCCAATCACGCCCAAAAGCGGGCGCTCCACCGAGCATCCGAGAGCAGGCTCGGAAAACCACGCACACATGTGGTAGAGGGCATAGGAACCGCCCAGGCCATGGCGGCTCTCTGAGCAAGTCATAACCGACGAAGAAAATGCCGCTGCACGCGGAGCGTGGGAGGTGGAGGAGCTGGGCGCATTTGGAAAGCCCCTGCTCGCACGGCTGCCGCACGCGAAGTCGCATCATCAAGATCTGCGGGGCCTGTTCCTGCACTGGCGCCCCCCAAGGCAAGAGCCGTCTGGGCAGCCGTGCGGCTCCGGCCGTTGCCTCACTGGCGAAGGGAACTGCAAGCTCAGCTGGAAAACCTCCACTTGCCCTTCCCACCCCCCGCCTCGCCAGTGGGGTATGCCACCTCCCTCGCTGAAGGCCTCCCACGTGGTGTCCGAGCAGATAGGGTCCAAGGATCGCGCCGCATCGCCGATGCATCGGTGATGCATCGACGCCGTCGGCGCGGAGGAAGTCAGTCTACACATCGAGCCGCATCGCCGATGCGTCGCCGATGCAGCGCCGCCATCCTCGGACCCCAGGCTGCCCGTCATCTCTCGCTGGGCGAGATCCGAACAACCGAGGTTGTAAGACGGAGGCCTGAGAGCCTGATCGGGAAAAACGACCATGCAAACATGCAAGAGAGATCAGGAGGGCGCAGGGCAGGGCGAGCAGTTGGGAGCGACTCGACCCCCCTCGACACAGCAACGGCGGGCGCTCCAATCGCTCGAGGGGGCTGGAAACCTGCCGTGCCTGGGAGAGGCCCCTCCCCCGGGAGATTTCCCCCCTGGAGCGCCTCTTCCAGACCTGGTGCTCTGCAGGTTCCGAGTCCGGTGCCCCCCCGCGTCTCGCCCTAGGGCGCCTTCGCAGCCACAGGCTCGGCGCTTCCTGGCCCCCTCTCTGCGCGTGACAGGGGGAAGGGGTTCGGAGGGTTGCTGTGGCTACGGTTGATGTCGGGCCCACGAGCGTAGAAAAAGAGAAAACCACATAAACAGAAACTTTTGGCGCTCCGCGCGGATTTCCTGGCTCCGCGCACAAAGTATATGTTTATGTGGCTGTTTCTTCTTCTAGAGACAGCCCTTCGGGAATACAAGCCCGAGGGGGCGGGGGAACGTCTTGGACAGGCGCCGCGTCAGCAGCTCACGCTGCTGCAGCTGCTTGGGGATCGTCTTCGACTTCATCAGGTACTGACGCAGCTCGATCCTGCGGGGCCGGGCCACGTGGCCCCGCATCCTCTTTCTCAACGCGTTCCCCCTCTCCTCCACCTGTTTTTTCTAGTCTGCTGTTCCTTCTCCGCCACAGGTCGAACAATCCGACCCGAAAGGCCACCAGATGAAATAGCTGAAAAAGGCGAGCCCTGGTGTTTGACATGGTTTGGTACGGCCCGAAGCTCGATCCTAAATTCAAGGGGCATTTCCGAACTGTACTATGGAGAAAGGCGGGCCATCGAACTTTCAACGGAATTCACCGACGTGTGGCCAGAAGCCATCGAACTCTAGCCGAAAGCCATCGCCCGATGCTTTCCCAGGGATCCCGCATGGGCTGCTGGGCATGCGCCGGTGCGGCCGAGCGCGCACTGGGGGACGCGACATCATTCACTGCGCGGAGCTCCCATACGTGCATATATGATCGCGGGCTCCGGGCCCACGGCCCCCCCCCCCAGATTGGATGGGTCCCAGGCCCCCCAGATGGGAGGGGGAGGAGAAGGAGGAGGAGGAGGAAGAGGACGACGACGACGGCGATGACGACGACGACGAAGACACCGTCCGCTCGGGCTCCCTGAAGCACCGGAACACAACGCCACACCGAGACGGAGGCGACGACGGTGAAGACACCGTCGACGACGATGTTCCTTTTCCTCCTACCTGCATCCGCCTCTCCATCCCTCCCTTTTCGTTTTTTGTCCTCTCTTCCCTACCTTGCTCCCCACCCCGCTTCCTCTCCCCATGTAGCCGCCAATCTCCGGAGGCAAAAGCTGAGGACGACGACGATGGCGATGGCGCCGGCGATGATGGATTTGCTCGGAAAGCACACGCCGCTATCCTCGCGCAGGGGCCGCTTGCATAAACCAGTGTGGTTGTGCGCCCCTAAGACAATCAGAAAAGGGGCTGAAGAAACAAAGGAGAAAGGAAACTTGACCATCGTACAACGCACTGGCTCGCTAATCACGCACTTCTGTCCTCGCGGTCGGTTGCGTCTGACGTACCATGGCCTGCACACAAACAGCAGGGCACGCTCTCGGCCGTGCCAGCGCAGCGAAACTCGGGCCCATGCTCTCGCGCAGAAGTTCCGTGAGCCACCACGTAACATTGCGCAGAAGTTCCGGCGGCGGCGGCGACGACGATCCCCTCCTCCCCGTCCTCTCCCCTCCTCCTGCTCCTGCTCCTGCTCCTGCTCCTGCTCCTGCTCCTGCTCCTGCTCCTGCTCCTGCTCCTCCTCCTCCTCTTCCTCCTCCTCCTCCTCCTCCTCCTCCTCCTCCTCCTCCTCCTCCTCCTCCTCCCATCCACTCATCCTCTGCTCCCCTCTACTCCTCTGCTCCTCTCTCTTCCTCCCCTCTCCGCATGCCCTGTTGCCCCCTCCCCGCCTTCCTTTCTTCCCTCCTTTGTTTTCGTTGTGCAGCGTTGCCAAAAAGACCAAGGCAAACCAAGGACACACAGAAACACCACAACGGTTTCGCGCACCGGCACGCCACGAACGCTACGTGACAACGGAGGGCTGCATGTGTGAGGACGAAACAGAGCCAGAAAAACGAAAACAAAACAAATGGCGTTAGTTTCCCCTAGGTAGGCACGCTCGAAATAAGGCAATTTTCGTCGTACCGAAGACGCAAAAATCTGTTCCGCCAGCGGGTGTTACCCGCCAGCGCACGCCAGATTGAGCGCGCACTTGACTATCAGAAGAGGCCAACCTCCCACACTACGGTTGCTAGACATTGCAGTGGGGCGCCTCTCTTCCTTCAAGTGTAGCAGTTTTACGTCATGCCTGGGACGGCGATGCATATGCCGATGCCGATGCCGATGTTCCTCCTCCTCCACCTCCTCGTCCTCCTCCTCCTCGTCCTCCTCGTCCTCCTCCTCCTCCTCCTCCTCCTCCTCCTCCTCCTCCTCCTCCGACGACGACGACGACGACGACGACGACGACGACGACGACGGCGGCGGCGGCGGCGGCGGCGGCGCCAGCGACGCCGACTCTTGGCCGACGGACCCCTAACCACCGCACACCCACAGGGCGGACCCCACACCACTCCCACAGGGGGGGGGGCACCACGCCACGACCACGCCCACGGGGGGGGGACCATCTCGCGGGGTCGATGGCATTAGCACTGGGGGGGCCCAAACCCTCGACCATATATTTGCATGGGCCTTTTTCCACCATGAGCGTTTAGGCGCAAAAGAATTCGAACACAAGAGGCACACGTGCCAAGGATCATACACTCACAAATATGGGACACTGAGGGCTGGGGGGGGCGCAAACCTGTGGCAGTTGCGGGAACGCGCGCGAGTGCTGCGACACGATGATCTATAGCGTGAAGAACTTGTTGTCACTGTGAGCTAGTAGCTAGTGGCGTCTCCATGGTTCTTCGGGGCCATGGTGCTATTGGGCGTCTCCGGGGCTTATTGGGGGTCTTCTGTGAGCCCGTCTGGGGCTCTTTTGGGCTGTACTGGGGCAGTCTTGAACTGTCCTGGGGCCTTTTTGGCCACTCGTGGGCACTCGGGGGGGCCAGGGGCACGGCCGGAGCGGGGGGACACGGTCGGTCAGTCGGTCGGAATAAGCCGGCGGGGGGGCCACGGGGCGGAAGGGGCGGGGCGGGGGTTAGGGGAGGGGGGGCACCGTCGGCCGGCGGCGGCCACGGGCCGAAAATGGGGCGGCACGGTCATTTTGTCGGTTGGAATAAACAGACGGGGGCCACGGGTCGGAGGGGAGGGGCACGGTCGGTCGGTCGCTCAAAATGAGCAGACGGGGGCCGGCCACGGGGAGGAGGGGCGCGGAGGGGAGCAGGGGGGCGGGAGGGCACGTTCGGGCAAGGGGGTGGCGCGGTCGGTCGGTCGGTCGGAACAAACAAACGGGGGGCCACGGGGGGGAGATGGGGCGGCACGGTCGGTCGGTCGGTCGGAATAAGCAGACGGGGGCCACGGGGCGGCGTGGGGGGCGCGAAACCTAAACCACCCTAAGTGGCACCCATAACATTTGCATCTGGCACCTAGAACTTATCCGTCTTTGGGCCAATTGGCCTTCACGTAGCGCGACCTTGAGCCGATGAGAACTTACCCTCCCCAGGAAAGAAACCCCGACGAACGTGGCCGCGTGGTGTCGGTTTCATAATGGAGCCAGGTTTGATAACATTGGGGCCGTAGACGTCGTCTTTGAGCCATTACGGATCACCTTGGAATTTGATTCAAGCCAACGTTGGGTCATGGGGTCATATTGGGCCATGCGAGGGTCGACTCGGCGCCCCGCGGCGCCCCTGGCCCCATCTCAGCGCCACGTGGACTTCATCGGGGTATCGCTGGGGTTCGCGGGGCCTCCGCGGGACCATCTTGGGGTCGCGAAATCGCAGTGCAATTGTGCCGCGAGATCGCGTCGGGGCCATCATGGGGCCCTGATGGGGTCGTCTTGGAAGCGTCGCGGCTCGCAAAGGATCGCGTTTTCGCCGCGGGCCATCCCGGTGTCGCGCCAGGGTTCCCGGGCCACCCCAGGAAGACGGCGTCGCGCGAAGGTCGCCCAGCGATCGCATTGCGACCGCGGGCCGCGACGCACCCCTGCTCGCAATCCTGCGCCGCGGCGGGGGGGTGGGGGGCGCAGCTAGGCAGCAAAATCGCAGCCTGGTGGCGCGGGTCGGCGGTCCGACCGTGGGGCCCCGGCGTTGGAATCGATGTCTGGGAGGGTCGCAGGGCGTGCGGCAACTGCGGACCGCGCCAAGGTGGCTACGCGGTCAGGGGGGGGGGGGAGGATGAAAAAGGGGCCGAAGAAGGATGGGCAGCGAGGAGGGCAGGAAGGAGAGGGGCAAGTAGGAGGAAGGGGAGGACACGGATGACGATGAAATATATCGAAATACGAAGAGAAGGAGGAGGAGGAGGAGGAGGAGGAGGAGGAGGAGGAGGAGGAGGAGGAGGAGGAGGAGGAGGAAGGAGGAGGAGGAGGAGGAGGAGGAGGAGGAGGAGGAGGAGGAGGAGGAGGAGGAGGAGGAGGAGGAGGAGGTGGACCAGAAGGAGGGGCAACAGGGGAACGAGGGGATAGAGGAGGGAAGGGGGATAGCGAGGAAGAAGAGAAGCCCAAGATGATGAGGGGGGGAGAAGGAAGAGGCGGAGGAAGAGGGCGATATGGAAAGTTCTGTTTGCCACTGAAGTACCCAGAGGCCTCCAGAAGTCCCCGGGGGCCGCCGGATTCCCAGAAACGCCAAACAAGTTACAATCAGCAATCATAATAACACAACGCTCGCCCCTGGATCCTCGAGCGTCGGGGCGTCGCTGCTGCCTCTTCCACTGCTGTTATCTGCTGCCTGTGCCGCTTCTGCTATCGCCGCCGTAGCTGTTGCAGCTGCTGTTTTCGCCGCTGCTGTTTTCTTATGATCCCAGCTTCGCGCTCTGATGCTCGTCGCGTCGTTGCTGCTGCGCTGCCCTCCCGAACAACTTGCTGGATGTGGACCATTGGTTCATGGCGTGTTCTTGAGATCGCTGCGACGTCGCATTGAGGTGACTACGCTTTGGGACGTCGTTCGGAGGTAATGCGTCGAGAACCGAACAGCCCACGTCGGGCACCGATGATTGATCACTGCAGGTGGAAGAGTCAGGATCGAGCATCGGGGATACAGCATCGAGGATCGAGGTGCAAGGATGGCACGTCTCGGATAAAACATCAAGGGTTGCCTCGAACATCGCAGATCGAGCATCGAGGGTCGAACCCCACCAGCCCTGTAGGGCGTGAAGTGGTCTAGGGAGCTCACCCTTCCTTCTTATAAAATCCCTCTCCCTACCCACTCTCCTGGGCCCCCTGCAGAGACCATGCAATACCCTGCAAAACCCCCCTGCAAAACCTCCATACAAGACCCTGCATGCGGGGCCCCTGCAATTACCTGCGCAGACCCTGCGACAGAATGCGATGACAATGCGATGCCCTGCATTGACCATGAAATACCATCAGCCCTCTGAGCGCGGGTCGTTGAACTCTTCCAACTCCCGAATACATACAGGTGGCCCGTGCGTGCCCAGGCCCCGCGGCGCCGCAGGCGCCGCCGGGGGGGGGGCGGGCCCAAGAAATCCTCGGGGAGCGCCAGAAGTTCATGTCTATGGCGTTTTTTCCTCTTCGAATGCCGCCCAGCAGACTCCAGGAGGGAGGAGGTCAGGAGCGGTCGGCATCGAAACGATAAGCCAGATCGGGTCGAACTGTGCTAGGAATCGGGCCGCATCGGCACGGAGCTAGAGTCGCGTCGGATCGGCTGCTGGGATGCATCACAATGCCATGCAAGCGTCGGGCAACATCGAATCGAGTGGGATCGGGCCAGCCAGGGTCGATATCGAATCGGATCGAAATTGACGTCACCAAGACGATCCCTTAGGAGGCCCGCGAACCTCAGGAAGCCGGAAGCCCGAAGCCTTCCAGACCCTCCCAGGACCGCTCAGGATCGCCAGAAAAGCCCCTCGACCCTGGATCCTTGAACCTCGATCCTCAGGGGGCCCCGGCGACCCCGTCAGTGGTGACCCCCCTGAGCACTGCCCGAGCGGTGGCGGATGGATTCTGCACGGAACCCCCGCCAGGGGCACTGGCTCTGGTAGAAGCTCTCGGAGCTCGCGTCCGCAGAAGGCTCGCAAGGGGTGGAGGCTGCTGCTGTCGCCGGCGATGGGCCGGAGACCCGGAGGCTTCTGGGGTGCTGTCTGTTGTTGCTCATTGTCGGGTGTGGCGTCAGGTGTAGGAAGTGTCGGAAATTTGGGAAAAGGGGGTAGCGCGCGGCCACGCTCAATCGAGGGGGGAGGAGCACGATCGTCATCGACGGTCGCAACTCGCCTTGGGCGCGGTCGCTGCCCCTCGTTGCCGAGCAGGGCTGGGGCCGGAGGCTCCCAGTGCAGTCGAGTACGAATGTTAGTTGCTCCACTCGGCAACGGCGCATTGTAGTTGCATCCGACAGGTTGGTCCTGAACCTTGATATCCTGTCTGATTCAGACTGTCTGATCGTATTGTCGTCGAGGTTCATCGTCAGTGGCTCGGGGGCAGACGGAGTGCCAGTGCGGTCGATGTTGAAGCCCTCGTCGCGGTGAGCTGATGGCATCTTCGAAGACAAGCGTTGAAAGATTAGGTCGTAATCAGAATTGACACCATCACCATCCAGCTCCTTATCGGCATCATCACCACCATCATCCGCAGTCACCGTCATCACCAGAATCGCTCTCATCCTCGACCTCGCCCTCCTCATCTTTCTCCTCTCCCCGTTACCCTCCAGATGTCCATTGTCACTACGCTGCTGCTCTTCCTTTTCCTCCTCCTCCTCCTCCGCACTCCTGTCCTTTTCTCTAGCCTGCCGGCTTGCTGTCTAGCTCGCGAAATGCCTAAATGGTTTGTTTGCAGACTTGCCGGCTGGCCTGCTGGCCAGGTGGTTGGCACGAGCTCGAGTGTGGATCCTCCTCCTCCTCCTCCTCCAATGCTGCTGGTCCTCTTCCTCCTCCTGCTCCTCCTCCTCCTCCTCAGTTCCTCCATGACATTGTCACGTTGATCTATAGTTTCCTCCTCCCCTGCTCCTCCTCTTCATCACCCTGCACGCTGCCCCTCCCCCCCCCTACAAACCTGCCCTCTTCCTCGTCCTCCTCCCCCATGTTCATCCCCGATGGGGTGTGCGCGGGCGAGCCTCAACGGTCTGGGCACGTCCCTGTCTTCGCACATGTCGTTCAGGTCGTCCATCTGCTGCTTGAATTCGTTGCCGTACTTGTCAAGATTCGAGATGAGAGCCACGATGCTACCGACGATGTAGGCCCTGGCAGGGAGCGAACTCTCAACCCTGACCGCGCGAGCAGGCCAGCCAGACGCATGGGCTCTGCTACCTTGCCTTTGTCTCACCCCCCCGGCGTCGATCCTCTTCCTCCTCCTCCCCCATTGATCTTGCTCTTCCTCTTCGATCATATTCCTCCTCATCGATTCCTCTCGATCGTCAATCCTCGATCCTCCTTCTCGATCCCCCTCATCATCCTCGGTCCTCTGTCCTCGATCCTCCTCGTCATCAACCCTTCTCCTCCTTCTCCTCCTCCTCCTCCTCCTCATTCTCCTCCCCGCTCGTGCGCTGGGGGATGAGGAGGAGGGGGAAGCAGAAAAAGGAGGACAGAGGAAGAGGCGGGAGGAGGGGGGGGGGAGGGAGGCCGAGACCTGCCACCCTCGTGAGCATCCGAGAGGAGGAGCCGAGACAGAGGCCACGGAATGGCGGAGCGCGCACCAGGTGAAGCCCATGAGCAGCATCGTGATGCAACAAAGGATAAACTCCAGCCAGTTCTGCGGTGTGATGTCGCCGTAGCCCACCGTCGTCAGCGTCATGATCGCCCTGGGCCCCGAGCCCGCCCCTGGTCCGGTCGAGCCACGGAGACGGCAGAAGGAAAGCGGAAGAGACAGCGGGACGACTGGGTGCGGCACATGGCTGTGCGGGTGAGGACACACGCAAGAGGAGGTGGATGAGGAGGGAAACGCGGGGGCAAAGAATGAGGAGGAACAACCACATGAGCTCCCCCCGTTCCTCCTTCATGCGGGTGAGGAACGCGCAAGAGGAGGTGAATGAGGAGGCAAAAGCGGAAGCACATAATGAGGAGGAACAACAACATGAACTCCCCCCTGTCCTCCTTCCAGTCAGGAGCGCTTGCTTAGCGTGTCGCAGCGGCGGCCCCCGTGACGCGCTGTGCCCTGTAATCTGACAGCGTGTTGCTCTGCTTCGCGGGACGGGAGGCCTGGCCAGAAACTCGGATTAACGTTGATGCTCGGGGACTGGCGCGTGCTCCGCGCGTCGCGCCGAAGCGCGGTGGGCCCGAGCCGGCGACCGACAACCCAAGCAAACGTTCCTGACCATACACTTCTTCTTCGACCTCCCTCCCGCCGCCCCCCGCCCCCAGCCAGTAGAGCGATAGGAGCCATACGCAGGTGGCGTTCAGGTCGCAGGGGAGCTCACCTCAGGCGCGCGGCGACGCCCGACAAGGGGCCGTCGCCGTCGCAGCCGTCTCAATCAATTGTCGTCGTCGTCGTCGTCGTGATCGTTGTCGTGATCGTTGTCGTGATCGTTGTCGTAATCGTTGTCGTCGTCGTCAACGTCCGCATCCGTGCCATCTGGAATGTTGAGGCGTAGTAGGCTGCCAAGTGCAGTCTGGTAGGGTCTGTGTGATCGTCGAAGGCCCCCCCTCCTCCGAGTCACACTCAGGCCTGTGCATCGCCCGCCTGCCCCCCTCTCCCCCCCCCTTCCTCTGTTGAACCTGAACTTGCGAGGAAGAGGGCGCATAAGGCTGATTCCCGTGTTGTCCGTTTGACGCTGTGCCGCTTTGAAGTGCATTATGCTGGTTCCCGTGCTGTCCGTTTGACGCTGTGCCACTTTGTCGGGGCGTCTCCGCTATCTCGGGGCCCTCTGAGGCAGTCTTGGGGCCCCTGGGGGCTTCCTGGGGACCCCTTGGAGGCTTCTTAGGCTGTTTGAAAAATTGGGATCCGCGCTTCCGAGGCCAAGATTCCTTGGTTAAGAAATGATCCGCGCTCCCGTGGCCACGAGCCCTCCATGGAAAAAGATGGATCTTCGCTCCAAGATGGATCCGCGCTCCCAAGCTACCAAGGTGGCCAAGGCAGGCAACCACGGCCGCCAAGGTGGCCCACGATGTCCCCAAGACGGCCAGTGATGGCCCCAAGGGTGCCCAAGATCGGTTTAAGATGACCAAGAAGCCCCCAAGACGGCCACAAGAGGAACCCCGACAGAACCCGAGTAAGCGCAGATCAGTGATTTTCCAATGACTTTGAAACATGTTCGCATCTTTACCTTGCCCGATCTCTTTGAAGACGACCCTATAGAGGCCTCCACGATGGCACCAAGGTCCCAAGAAGGCCCACAGATGGCCTCCCAATGGGCCCATAATCCTGCAAGCCAGCCTTAAGACAGCCCAAGGGGGCCCCTAACCAGACAGTCCCAGGTCCCAAGAGAGCCCCGTGTTGGCCCAACAGGGCCTCTGGCCGCTAGAGTGTATTTTTGATTCGGCCAGTGCATGCAACATACTTCGTGACCACCTCTTCACCCCTTTCGTCCTCTTCGAAGGCGTCCACCACCATTATTGAGTCTCTATAGGCCTGAGCTTGGCCGGGATCTCCTGCTCGGGACCAGCGAGACCCTGACCCAGCGGTGGAGGATACCTCGCTCCTCCCAGAGGCCCCCCACCCCTGATCCCCCCAGCATACCTGGAAGCCTCCGGAGCCCTCGGCCCCGCCTTCCGCATGGCCTGCCGCCGTGCGCAGTCCTCAACAGCCCCCGCGACCACGGAGCGGGCCTCCTGGGGGCCCGGAATCGGAGGAGGGCCAGTCGAGACAACGGCGGCGCTCCCTGGCGTGCTTCGCTCCTGAGGCCTCATGGAGGCTTCTCGCCGCCACGGCTGGGCGCGCCTCGAAAAACGGACCAGGATGGACCTCGTGAGGAGTCTGGGGATGGATTCTCAGCAGACGTGGGCCCGGCGTGAGAACCGCCGCTGTCTCCACTGGCCCTCCTCCAACTGACTCAGGAGACCCCTATCGACCTTCTCACGACGTCGGAGACCTGGGCCATCGGACGATGGGAGGAGGAGCAAGGTCGGCATGCTGGAGGTGTTCAGCCCAGGACGTGTGTGCTGCTACTGTTTCTCGTCTCCTCGCCCCCTGCCTGTATTTCTACGGCTTTTTAGGGGGTTGAGGAGGCGGCCTTCCTTGTGCAGCGCGGGCGTGCGCGGCCCTCGAATGCCTCCCGCTCGTGCGAGCGATGAGGCGTCGGCCGACCCGCCCGCGCCCTGACGACACGAGCGGGTGTGCGCTCGGCGGCCCGGCTAAGAAAGGTCGGCATGAAGGACGCGGGTCGTGGAAAAAAGGCCTCCGGAAGCCATCCACGGCTTTGGGGCCCCCTGCAACCTCCACAGGTCCCGGGACCGTCAGAGAGCAACCCAGGCTGAGGAGCTGGCTCTCGGGAGGGCCCCATGGGTCTCGGACCCGTCTCCCTCAGAAACACTTCCCCTCCACGGCGAGTGCACAGGCCCGCGCTGGGGCGGACGAAGTGCTCAAGGGGGCGGGGGCAAAGGGGGCAGCGAATCACCTCAAGCAACTGGCTTTCCCGACGCCTCCCGGCGCCAGAAACCCTAGATCCAAACACGTTGACGCCTCACCTGTATTTCTGCTGCTTTCCGCAATCCGGAATGCACGCTGTACCGAGGGCAGCGCCCCGGCGGCGGGGCCGAAACCGGCTGCGAGCAGCAGATTTGGCAATGACCCCCCCCTTCCGCAATCTCCCCCCGGAAAACTGAGAGAGAACGAAGACAACCAGCCCTCTGGGCGTAGGTGGTCTAGGGAGCTTCCTCCCCCAACCCCATTCTTCGCCCTGGGCGAGGAATGTATCACTGTTCCCTATGCACATACACCCCCTCCCGAAGGCGACCGGCAGCCAACCAGGAACCATGAGATGCTCACCCTTCACAACCATCCATGTCAAAAAACAATGCAAAACGCACTCTGTCTCCACATTTGGAGCATGCGCGCCCAACCCGAAACGGCGCCCCCCCGCCATCCCTGTCAAAAAGCAATACAAAGAACACTGTTGGGCAAAATGTTGAGTCATGCTCGTGAGGCCTGCGAGCACTTTGGATTGTTTTTGACAGGGACGGCGGGGGTGTTAGTATATTGCCTGCTGTGCGCAGGGCAGCCGTCCCTATCAAAAAACAATACAAAATGCACCTCGCAGCTTAATCTGGATCATGCGCGGCCACCCCGCGATCACTGTCAAGTGGTTTTTGACAGGGACGGAGGGGGTGGTGGCGAATGGCCTACTGTGCGCAGTCCCACCACCAATGATGGGCATTGGTTTTCGACAGGGATGGTTGGGGCCGACATGTTACCCGATGTGTGCTGTAACGTGCACAGGCGCACCTGACACACTCTGCACGTGCCCCGAACGTGGCGCACTTGGCGCGGCTGGAGCATGCGGCACACCTGGCGCACGCGGAGCACATGGCGTATCTGGCGCACCAGGCGTGCCTGGCAGGCTCGGGCCCCAGGGCTGCCTGGCGCGCGTGGCGCACCTGGCTCGCGTGGCGCAACTCGCCCCAGCGTCGCGCACATGGGGTAGATTATGATTCCCAGCAGCTGCCCATCCAAAGACGACCGCTGAACATGCTCAGGCTCGGGTGTTACTTATGTGTTGGGAGGGCGTGTAGGAGTAAGCTAGACGTCTTGCTATATAGGGGGTGTTTTGGCCCCTCCCTTTACCCTCTACCCTGGACGTGGACGGGGCGGGCCGCGAGGTGTCAGAGGGTACTTTGTCGCCTAAGATGGCTCTAAGAGCGCCTCGGAGAGCCCAAGATGATGTCCAAGATGGCTCAAGATGGCCCAAGATGCCTCCAGATGGCTCCCAAGATGCTCCAAGAGGCCCCAAAACCGCCCCAAGACTGCTCCAGGCGGCCTCCGAGACCACCAAGGAGGTACCCAAGAAGCAAAAACCCTTCAAACACCTGAAAAAAATGATTGATTTGTGTATCGTCGCCCGTTCGCGTTCGATACCCTTGCAGGGCCTCAAGATGGTTCCAAGATGGCCCAAGAGGGCCCCAAGAGGGGCCCAAGAGAGCCCCAAGACGGCCCCCAAACGCCCAAGAGTGCCCCGAGAGCGCCCGAAGAGTCGATTTTCGGGGGCCCGAGGCGGGGGGGAGGGGGGGGGGGCCAATCGGAGCTCCCCAAGAGTGCCCCAAGGGGCCCCAAGAGGCGCCCAGACGGCTCCAAGAGCCTCCAAGAGGCTCCCAAGAGACCCCCAAGAGGCCTCAAGAGGATCCCCGAGGCACCCAAGACGCTCAAAGACGGCCCTGGGTCTGCCAAGATACTCCCCAGACGCTTCAAGAGGCCTCCGAAAAAGCGTCCAAGAGACATCCGAGGAGACCCCTGACGAACGATAACGGCTGCCCCACTCTTTGCGGCTACACTTCCCTGATCACCTCAACTCGCCTGGGCGTCGTTTCTGGATGGTCTGGTATGGACACATTTGGTCGCAGCTGCAGGCCGACGAGCCGACAGCGTCAGTAGAGTAGCACGGGCCGCGAGCACCCTAATTGCCGGCGCGCGCGCCGGCAGACTGCACCTACCGCCGAGGGAAGCTGCGCCAGGGCTGAGCCGCGCCGAGGAGTGGAAGCTGCCAGGTCTGGTGGGGATACTTTTTTTGGTTCGCGGCTCCAAGGCGAGGGACAGGGAGCAAGCACAACGTCCGCGGCGCGTGACGATGTAAATTGGCCTCCGAGGCGACTGCACGTGCCAGGGACAAAATGACCTTCATTAAGACGCATACTGCGTCGGCAGGAGACCGGCCCAGACATCCCGGCAGGTGGGGACGCAGTCTGGTGGGGATACTTTTTTTGTTCGGCGGCCCGCAAGGAAAACTCCAGAGGGCGTGTCAAAAGGCAATGGGGCGCAATGCCAGATAACTAGTGAAGGCCAGGCCACGACTGGAGGAAGCCGCCAAGAGGGCGCCAACCCACGCACGTCTGGTGGGGATACGCGAAGCGTCAACAATTCGGATGAGGATAGGTCGGGAATCCTGAGGGTCATCGGGTCTGGAAGATGTGCCAATCGCCGCGGCCGTTCCAGAGCGTCCTGGCAGGCAGAGAGCTTTGCGGAGCGCCCTGGAGCGATTCATCTAGAAGCGAAATGCCTGCGTAAACATATGTTTTCGGACGTATCTCTTGGGCCCCCCTCCCCACGGCAGAGACGGCGCCAGAGGCACCGCCAGAGGGGTCCCAGCGCCCACCCGAGAAATCCGCGAGGATTTTCAAGATTCCCTAAGTAGCTTGTCTGCAAGGATCTTATCAAAATCTTCGAAAGGCTAATCAATGCGATACCCGATCTGGAATCGGTCGGGCGACGTTGCCTCCCATTGTCCCCCAATGTCTCCCGCTTTCTCACACTCTCCTGTTGTCTCCAAATGTCTCCCTCCCGTTGCCTCTCCGAATCCCTATCCGTATCCCCATCCATACCTCTATCCCTACCCCCATTGTCTCCCGTTGTCTCTCAGTGTCTCCCATTGTCTCCCGTTGTCTCCCATGTTCTATCCGTATCCCTGCCCGTATTCGTATCCCTGCCCCTACTTCTACCTCTATCCCTATCCGTATCCCTGTCCCTATCCCTCTGCCTCCATCCCTCTCTTTTTCCCATACCCTGTAGCAGAATCTCCAATATCCCTATATCGCTACATTCCTTGCCCCACATCCCTATCCTTCTCCCGATCCCCCATCGTTGTCTTCTGTAGTGGCTGGCCCCCCAGCGTGACTTCCCTTCGCGGCCCCCGTCATCACTGCGCAAAGCTGCCTAGGGCCCTCTGCCGCTCTGAAGCGATTCGGCGGTGGGCAAACCTCCCTTTAGTAAACCACCCTTCTAGTGGAAATGGCCTAGGACCGAAACCGACGGACCTGGACCCGCAAAAATGACGGCGGCGACGCCCTCTCGCGAACCGAAAGCGGCCAATTCGCTAATCGACGTGTCAGAGTAGGAAGTCGATCATCAACCTCCGACTCCCATCTGGGCCTGCCTGGCCCTGTCGCCCAGCCCGGCCGAAGGGCCGGAGCGCCGCGCCGAGCCCCGCACCGCCCGAGTTGTCCTCGAAGGCAGACAGCCACGTCGCGTCGGGCTGGTGACTGCGCACGCCGGGGGGTCCACGGCGGAGGCCGGGGGCGTTGAGCGGGCGCGCTGCGAGGCGCTGCGAGGCCCCAGCAGGGCGGGGCGGCACGCGCGAGGGGCACGAGGCGGGACAGCACGGCAGAGAGGGCGGTAAAACGAGGAGGGGGGGCGAGGAGGGGGAGAGGAGGCGGGAGGCACACGGGGCAGAGGAGGAGGAAGGAGGAGAAGGCGGAGGAGGAGGCGGAGGAGGCGGAGGAGGAGGAGGCGGAGGAGGAGGAGGAGGAGGAGGAGGAGGAGGAGGAGGAGGAGGAGGAGGAGGAGGAGGAGGCACGCCAACCCGATGAATCCGAGCGCGCCGAGACAGGCAAAGGGAAGAAGAGGACTGGTGGAAAAGGCGAGCGATCGCGGCTCGACGAGACAAACAGAGATGAAACGCAAGCGAATCACCGAAGACAAAACGCCAAACGAATTATCGAAGACGAAGCCAGAAGACAGCTTCGTCAGACGCGAGGAGCGGACGGGGATGTCCCTTCCACTCCCAGGGAGGTTTTTTGTTGCCCTGCTCAAGGGCCTCGAGGTACGTAGCGTCCTTGCTGGATGCAATACCCTGGCACGGCCCCCAAATCCTAGACTGAGGGGCCGACGGCTGGGCTCTGGCGCCGCAGCGACGGCAGAACGCCAGGGTAGCCCCAGCCAGGCCGACGACGTGCCCTCGAGCAGAACTGGGCCCCACGGGGCCTTTGGCGGGGAGGGGACAGTCAGGAGGGAGAGCATCACGGGCGACCCAGGGCCCACGGAGCACCAGGCCTCCCGAGGCCCGAGCACGCTTGCTGGGCGGAGGCCCATCAGCGCGGTTGGGGGCAGGAGGCCCACCAGTCCCGTCCAGGAGCTTCTCCTTCGAGCCAGCGGTGGAGACGGACGAGGGCGAGGGGCGGGGGGGGAGGGGCTGGCGTCGGCTGCACACGCGCCACGGCCTGACCACTAGACGACCTCGGCATCTTGGCCTGCCTGCAGGCCTCCCCGACATCCTCTTACCCTCTTACCCTCATCCGTCTGAAAACGCACCCTCTTCAAGGCCAGAGGCCGCTCAAGGACTCCGAGCTCCGAGGGCGGCGGCTCCCTAGACTCCTCCGAAGACACCTGTAGCCTCGGGGGGAGGGACCTCGAGGGGGCCCTCGATGCGCGCTTCCAGAGGACCCCGCTCCACAGGACGGTTCCAAAGGCCCCTCCCCGCAGGAAAACAACGAGCCCTCGGGGCCCGCCACGCTGGGCAAAGTTCCCTCGAGGCCCCAGAGGGCCGCCGTCTCGGCAACGTGACGCTCTCGGAGCCTGCGGGCCCTGGCACCTCGGGCGGTCAATGCGAAAGCCTGACAGCGCTCAGATGCAGACCTCTTCCCCGTCCACCTCGCCCGATGAGGATGCCCCACAGGGGCCCGCGGCGGCCGCGGCGGCGGCGCCACCTGGTCACCTGCGACGGACCTCCGCGGGGCTGCCCCAGCGCCGCGAGCGCCCCAGGCGCGCCGCAGCTCGGCGTTGCGCCACCGCGGGGGCGCGACGCGGTCCGCGGGCACGTCGCTCTGGAACTGCAGCTTCGACGCGTTGCCGATCCTGACAGTCGCCTGCCTCGTCTTGAGCAGCGCGAGGGGGTAGCGTTCGACCACAGAGTTCGGGACGTCGCGAAGTCCGCGCCCCCGCTTGGCAGCCAGGTCCGCCAAGTCATTGCAGCGCTTCTCCCCGCAGTCACCCCCCCCGGTGCCCCTTGACGTACTTGAAGACAATGGGTGCTTCATCTCCTGCACAACTGGCGCCTCCATGGCCAACGATACGGCGGAACAATTGCCTCCATAAGTCCACGTTGTCTCGTCGAGCGCCAGCCTGTCGACCAGCGGCTGGTAGTCGGTATGTATCCGTAGTGGTGCCACCCCAACTGTCAACGCCTGAAGAATCGCGTGCAGCTCTGCCCTGCCAGATGTCCGGCGCGGGCCTGGCAGCGGCCCACAAGCAACTCCGCAGCACCGAGAATCACCAACCACCACAAATCCCCACCGAGATCTAAAAGCCGCGTCCCAGTGGAGAAGCTTCGCATAATATCCGTCAGCGGATACATCGCCAGTGACAACACATTGGTCACTGAACGACCTCCCTCGAGCAGCCTCGTCGTAGCGCCACCGTCCAGAGTCATCCTGCGGTGGCGTTGCTGGCAACCCAGAGTTCGGGAATAAGGCCCCCGAGTAGAAATTATCTCCAGGTATGGTGGCTCTGGCCATATCCAATAAGTACTTCAGCATCCACAGCGTGCTCTCGAAATTCCACCAGCGACGGACAATGCCAGCGCCGATCGTGCACGGTCCCAGCAACATTATAACACAGACGACAATGAAGGGAGGTGGCATAAGCTTACTCAAATAACCGTTGCTGCAAGAAATGACCCCCATAACTGCAGAGCGAATCGCCGCCTTGGCCACAGGATCCAAACGCCAGCGCTCCACCGTCTGCCCAGCGCGCAGCATGTCCTGAATAGGCGCCAACCAACAGCCCGCGGGATCTTTGTGACTGGGCCCTGGTATCTCAAGAATGGCATCTCGGCGTTGAGACCACATAAGCCAGCCCGGTGCCCCGAAGTCCCGCAGGGCAAGCCTGCGCACAACCGAGGGCCACGTGGCACGAAGATCCAATAGCTCACCAGGCCTGGTGCGAACCGCAAACGCAGACGAGCAAGTCCACTCCAGCGCAGGCAACGACCGTGCAAAAGCCCCTGCTGGCACAGTGGCTGGCCTCCAGTTGTCTGCTTGATGTGCTGCTGCAGTGACTCGAAACTGCGTGCGCCACGCCTTCTGCATGTCCAGATGAGTGACCCCGCGAGCGTGCGCCATCACGGCCCAAGTGTGACTGGGCCCAACCGCTGAGACACAAGCAAGCTGAGATTCAGGCGACCGTGCCAATCGAGAAGCGGCCCAGTGCGATGCCCCAGCGGGTGTGGCACCCACCCATCTTGACTTGCCTGGTCATTCGCTGGACAACATGTGGCGCGGCCCCCAGAGACACTCTCCGATATGTAGTAACCAAGTCCAGAAGTCGCTGGAAGTGTCGGACACGCTTAGACATGGCCTTCACCAGGCGGCGCGAGACTCTAGAGCGCACAGGCTTTCCCGCACCGGCCTCGAGGCCCAGGACCTCAAGCCAGGAAAGGGCGTGGAAACCGAACCTCCGGAGCCTCTGAGAGATGCGGGGGGCGGCGCGGTCGCGAGGCGCCGCCAGCAAAGCCTTGGACTTGACCGCTGGCTGGGCGCCCCAAGTCCTGCAGGGAATCGCACATAATACCAACGATGTCAGCCGCCTGCCCTTCCCGAACATGCATCGGGGCAACTCCCGGCGATGCAAGGTCGTCGGCGAATGCATGCAGCGTGTGCGACGTACGAACGCAGGTACTGGCGACGGTGCCAGCCTGGATTAGGTACTCACCCAATGCAGAAATCATCAGAGGCTGAACGAAGGCAATCGCAAACTTACAACCAGGTAGAACTCCTTGCTCAACAACCACCGAGTATGACGCAGCCTGCAGCCACACCAATCTGCATGGCGCCCTATACGTGGCAAGGGCACAAGCCTGCAACTGACGCGGGGAGCCATGCTTACGAGCTGCCTCGACCAAGATGGGTCATGAAATGCGGTCGAAGCATTTCTCGATATCCACGATGGCGGTGACCACTCCAAGCCCGTCGGCTAGACCAGCCGCAGCATGGAGTAAGGCACGCGAGGCAACGCCCAAGGTGGTCTTGCCAGCCGCCATTGCGAAGTAAGGTCGGCCATGCTCAAGAAGCCACTCAAGAAGCTGTTGGGCCCGAACCTGAGACCAGTCACGGTAGGCTGCAAACGCATTGCACTGGAGCGCCAGCCTCCTTGCGGCTTCGCCAACAATACAATGTGCACTGCCATCATATGCGTGGGCCAACGCTCCCAGTGCTCAGCGAGCCACATGATGTAGAGGAGGAGAGACAGCACTTCGTCGCTCACGATTACTCAATGACCGCGGTGCCACCCTGACTGCCCCCTGTCCTGTGGTCCAGCGGAAGCTCTTCGCCGATCTGCGCACTGTGGCAATGCGAGGGGCAGGCAGTGCGGCCTTTGGAAGTTGCCTGAAAGACGTGTCGTCGAAGTCCGCCAGGGGCCGAGTCTCGTAGGCAAGGCGTCCGCGGCCTGCACCCTCGACCTGAGACAAGGTGGAGCAGTTCGACACGGGCGAGGCCCACCAAATCCTACACCAACCATCCATCTGATCATCGGCCACATGCTGCGCCGCCGTCGCGTGGATCCCGCGGCGCTCGACCTGGGAGTGCGGCGGGGCTTCGCGAAAGAGAACCTCGGCTTGATGCGACCCGCCTCGCAGCCATGCGCCCAGTCCGAGAAGGCCTTGCGGCGCTGGTGCATGGCCTTCCGCTCCTGCGCGCCGGCGAAGCACCCGAGCCAGGCGGCCGCTGCATGCGCGGATTCTCGGACCGCGGTCCGCGCGTCACCCGGGCCCGCCGCCGGGCAGGAATCGCGGTAGGCCTCAGGAGCAAGTAGAACAGCAGGAAGAAATGCAGGAGGAACAGCAGGGCCGCGGGGAGCTTCACGGCAGCGCCCCTCCCACACACAGGCGGCGGCGCCCCGCGCCACCTTCGCCTTCGCCCCGCACTGGGGAGGGGGCTTGGAGGGTGAAAGTGGGGGTCGGGCGCAGGGTCCCGGCAATGATTTTTTGTAAAGCCATGAATGGGCGATGCATCCTCGATTGCCGAGCTCGGCGGGGGAACTAATTGAAGCCCCCCGCCTGCGCCCGCGCGCGAGACTCGAGGGGAAAGGAAGCAAGGGGGCGGGGGGCTCGGGAAAGGCGACGAAGGCAACGTGCGCTAAGGGCGCAAAAAGAAAAAGCTGGAACACACGAAAGCGGCCAGGTGAGTGTCGAAAGCTGCCCAGCAAATCTGACATGCGGAACGCTGCGCCTCAGTTTTGGGGATCTTGAAGGCCAGGGCAAAATGTG